TCGCCTGTCGTGACGGTATGAAGCCCACTTGGTCTGGGTGTATTAGTTTGGGTAGGTTGGGGCTTCAGGGCCGCCATCAGGGGGTGACAACCGTGACAGTTGTCACGGGCCCGGCGGCCCTGGGGGGCCCGGACTGCTCTGGCAGTCCTGGGCCCCACTTTCCCTTTCTGCACACATAGATAGCGCATATCGCTATCTATGTGTGCAGCCGCGGGCCCCCTGCTCCCTGTTACCGCAGAGGGGGCCCAGCCAGGCAGCACACAGCTTCTCCTCCTCTCTTCTCTCTTCTCATAACTCTCGCAAGACCCGCGGAGCGTTGCCATGGTAACCGGGTCTCGCGAGAGTTATGAGAAGAGAGGAGAAGCTGTGTGCTGCCTGGGCCCCCTCTGCGGTAACAGGGAGCCGGGGGGCCCCCCACTGGACCACCAGGGATGGAATCTCCCCCCTCCATGGACACAGGTAAGCAGGGAGGGGGGAGAAACATTTAATTCAATTAATTAAAAATTAATGTTAAAATGCCCCTTCCTCCCCCTCACCCCAGATCACACACTAACAACACACACTGCATACAATAACACACACATACACTGCATACACTAACACAACACACACACACTGCATACACTAACACACACATACACTGCATACACTAACACACACATACACTGCATACACTAACACACACATACACTGCATACACTAACAACACACACTGCATACACTAACAACACACACTGCATACAATAACACAACATACACTGCATACACTAACACACACATACACTGCATACACTAACACAACACTGCATACAATAACACACACATACACTGCATTCACTAACACAACACACACACTGCATACACTAACACACACACTGCATACAATAACACAACACACACACTGCATACACTAACACAACACACACACTGCATACACTAACACAACACACACACTGCATACGCTAACACAACACACACTGCATACACTGACACAACACACACTGCATACACTGACACAACACACACACTGTATACACTAACACAACACACACACTGCATACACTAACACAACACACACACTGCATTCACTAACACAACACACACACTGCATTCACTAACACAACACACACACTGCATACACTGACACAACACACACACTGCATACACTAACACAACACAAACACTGGATACACTAACACAACACACACACTGCATACACTAACACACACACACTGCATACACTAACACACACACTGCATACACTAACACACACACTCTGCATCCGCTACATACTAACACACTCTCTGCATTCACTACAAATTTACACACTCTCTGCATTCACTACAAATTTACACACACTGCATTCACTGCACTAACACACACACTACATTCATTACACTGACACACTCTGCATTCATTACACACTAACACACTCTGCATTCACTAAACTATGCACACACTCTGGATTCACTATACTGACACACACTCTGCATTCACTACACTAACATACACTCTGCATTAACTGTACACACAGCATCCACTACACAAACATCCTGTATTCACAGTACACACACTACATCCACCACAAATTGAAACACTCTGCATTCACTATACACAAACACTGCGTCTAAAACACACACTACAGACACTGCATCCACTAAACACATTTCATCTAGTACATACAAACACTACATCCACTACACAAACACACACTACATCACTGTACACACACTACATCCACTACTCAAAAACACTCTGCATTCACTATACACACTGCATCCGCTACACAAACACACACTCTGCATTCATTGCACAAACAGTATCTAATACACACAAACACTACATCCATTACACACATTCTAATTCACTTCCACTATACACACCACATTCAGTCCTGCATCATTGTGAGCGGACTAGGTAGGGCGTGGGCGGGCCCGCGAGGAGGGGGGGGGCCCAGACCTTGTGCTTTGTCATGGGCCCCAAATTTTCTGATGGCGGCCCTGTGGGGCTTAGTCGGTCCGCGAGGGTTTTGGTGAATAATTTAATATCCACATTGAGGAGTGAGATTGGACGATAGTGTCCAGGTTCGAGGTTTGTTTTGTTGGGCTTGGGGAGGAGGCATACATTCGCTTGTAGCATGTCATTCGGTAGTTGGTCTCCCTGTAGTATGGCGTTGTATAGTGTGCAGAGGTGTGGGATCAAGATGGGGGCGAATGTCTTATAATATAGCCCAGTGAACCCGTCTGGGCCAGGACTTTTGTTGGGTTTGAGTGCTTTTATCTTTCCTGCGAGTTCTTCTGGTGTTATGGGGCTGGCAAGAACCTGTGCCGCTTCCGTGGTTAGGGAAGGTAATGGAATTTGGGTTAGGTATTGGTCTATTAGTGTTTTGGTTGACATTGGGTGTTGTCGTGTTTCAGGGGTGTGGTCGTACAGGGTTCTGAAGTAGTCTTGAAAGACTCCGGCGATTCTCTCTGGGTCCTCTGTGGTTTCCCCTCTCGGGGTAGTTATTTTGTGTATCTGTTTATTTTCGCTTCGTTGCAGGGGTCAAGTCCTGGGGAAAAAAGTGTGGGAACTCTCCCCAAAAAAACCCAAAACACTTGTATGTATGTGTGTGTATATATATATATATAAACACACATATATATATATATATACACACACACATACACACGCGTGCACACACACACATACACTCACACAGTGGTGTATTTTAATTTTATGCTGCCCTAGACATGACTATAGAGCACCCCCTAATCTAAATTTACCACTCCTTCATGTCAAGGGTGCACCGCTTCTTGATTAAGAACCCACCCCTTCCTCTTTAGACTCCACCTTTTCCTGCTCCTTTTAAAGAAATACTATAGTGCCAGGAAAACAAAGTTGTTTTCCTGGCACTATAATTCCGTATAGTGCCCCCCTCCTCTCATGTCCTCCCCTCCCCCACTCGACACTGGAGGGGTTAAAATCCTATGGGTATTTAGCAGATGCTGGATGTCCTCATGCACAGGGTGAGGACGTCCAGCATCAGTTAGGTGACTTTTGGTCACCTAACCACCCGAAAGTCCCTCTAGTGGCTGTCTGATAGACAGCCACTAGACTTGGAGTTACCCCTCAGGTAATTGTTGCAGTTTCTGAGAAGGTTTAAGGGGACTGGGACACTGCACCCAGAACACTTCAAGGAGCTGAAGTAGTCTGGGTGCCTATAGGGTCCCTTTAAGCACACTCTCTGACAGACACCCACACTGGCAGATACACACTGACAGTAACACACACATTCAATGACAAACACACAGACTTCACTGATTTGACACACACATTCACTGACACACACTCATTCATTAACAGAGAGACACACACTAATAGTCACACACACACTAAATGACAGACTCTCACTTATTTGACAGAAACTTACAATAACGTATGCACATACATGCAATTGCAAACATACACATGCATACACTAACAGAAGCACATACACTCACATACACACGTACAAACGCTAACAGACATAAATACACTCCTACACACACTGAGACAAACAGACATCCACAGACAGACATCCACAGACAGACATCCACAGACAGACATCCACAGACAGACATCCACACATCCAGACGTCCACAAACAGACGTCCACACATCCACAAACAGACATCCACACATCCACAAACAGACATCCACACATCCACAAACAGACATCCACACATCCACAAACAGACATCCACACATCCACAAACAGACATCCACACATCCACAAACAGACATCCACAAACAGACATCCACAAACACAACAGACATCCACAAACAGACATCCACAGGCAGACATCCACTAACAGACATCCACAAACAGACATCCACACATCCACAAACAGACATCCACACATCCACAAACAGACATCCACACATCCACATCCACACATCCACAAACAGACATCCACAAAGCCACAAACAGACATCCACAAACAGACATCCACACATCCACAAACAGACATCCACACATCCACAAACAGTCATCCTCAAACAGACATCCACACATCCACAAACAGACATCCACAAACAGACATCCACAAACAGACATCCACAAACAGACATCCACAAACAGACATCCACATACACACATCCACACACAGACATCCACACACAGACATCCACACACAGACATCCACACACAGACATCCACACACAGACATCCACAAACAGACATCCACAAACAGACATCCACACATCCACAGACATCCACAGACATCCACAAACAGACATCCACACATCCACAAACAGACATCCACAAACAGACATCCACACATCCACAAACAGACATCCACAAACAGACATCCACAAACAGACATCCAGACATCCACAGACAGACATCCACAGACAGACATCCAAAAACAGACATCCACAAACAGACATCCACAAACAGACATCCACACATCCACAGACATCCACAGATATCCACAAACCCACAAACAGACATCCACACATCCACAAACAGACATCCACAAACAGACATCCACACATCCACAAACAGACATCCACAAACAGACATCCACAGACATCCACAAACAGGCATCCACACATCCACAAACAGACATCCACAGACAGACATCCACTAACAGACATCCACAAACAGACATCCACAAACAGACATCCACAAACAGACATCCACAAACAGACATCCACAAACAGACATCCACAAACAGACATCCACAAACAGACATCCACAAACAGACATCCACAAACAGACATCCACAAACAGACATCCACAAACAGACATACAGACATCCACATACAGACATCCACATACAGACATCCACATACAGACATCCACATACAGACATCCACAAACAGACATCCACAAACAGACACCCACACACATCCACACACACATCCACACA